TTCTCAGCAGGAGAAAAATGGGCAATGTCCTGTGTGATTTACTGTCTCAGAAAACCCACTGGAGGGCCTACTATGAGTCAGTCCTTACTTGATGGTATGTAACAACAACAATAGATCAACATGTTACAATATTTTATAAAATTCAAGATAACAAATGGCTATTTGACTAGTGGCAAAATTTGAGTACCATTAATTTGAATCACTAACCTGTTTTTGTTTTTATTTTTACAAATGAAAGTATTAATTAGATAAACAAAAGCAGGAAAGAGTTTGATTTTGAAACAAAATTTATTATCTTTAAGAGTCCCTGAGGAGAAAGGAAAATGTTTGTCCATTTGCTGAAAAATAAAACAAAGAGGCACAAGAAAAGTTGAGAAGGGAATTAGTTTCAAAGAAGAAGCTGGAGTGGCAGAGAAGTAACTTGTTTGGTGATTATCTAATGGAGTTCAAACTCATGGTAGTTGGGTGGAATCTCAGACTGACTTCTCTCCAAATTCATTTTCCTGGGCTACTGATCGAACTGAAAATTTCCAAACAGGATCAGGTCAAGGCCAGTTATCTCTGTGTTGAAAGGAAGGTTTATCATCTTATCATGCTTTATTGTAATCATGCATGCTCTACCTGAGAGGTAACCATAAAACCTTGATTATGAAACTATTGAGTAAATTTTTTCACTTACCTGGGCTTTCTCAACCTCAACTCTATTGACATTTTGGAATTAATGATTTTTTTTATGGGGTGGGGATGTACTGTGTGTAATATGATGTTTAGCCTCATCCGACTTCTATTCCTACTACTAGATCTAGTAGTGCTTTTCCCCAACCTACCAAATTGTGATAAGCAGAAGTGACTCAAGACATTAATAGGTGCCCATGACTATTACAAAATTGCCCATGGCTGTTACAAAATTGTTCAAACATCCTAGAGAGAACCACAATTTCAACTTTATAAAGTATCCATTAAGCAAGCAAACTTTTGTTATACACCTACCGTTTGTCGAAGACTTGATGTTTTCTGTGACCATGGAAGAGAAAAACATTGTCCTTGACCTCAAGAAAATTTAATTATGGGAGACATTAGGAGTCCCTGTGAATCAACTGGAAAAACAATTTATTAAAGCCCCTTTTCAAATGATACAGTGTGAGAGCCAGTCTCAATGACTAGTCTCAGTTAAACAAATGAGAAAGAAGATCAATGAAGATAGATTTCGTGAACTAAGACTTGATGACTATGTAGTTTGAACATGTGTAAGCATGGGAAGTCATACTTTCTGAAAAATTAGAGCACATGAGTTGATATTTAGTCTGTAAATAGGTGGAATATTTGAAACCATACCTTTCTTGGAGAGTTCAGGATAATCGGTTTCAGAAAGTGTATGGTTTCTGAACAAAAAAGCCATGGTCTTCTTAATTACTTCCTATGCATCTGAGAGTTGGGTAATGAATAAAGATGACAGAAGAAGAGTCGATGCCTTTGAGTCGTGGTGCTGGAGAAGAACACTAAATATCTCACGGACTGACAAGAGAACAAATAAATATGTCTTGAAGAGAGTGTAGTCAAGGTGTTCTTTGGAGAGAAGGATGGTGAAGCTTTACCTCTTATACAAGGAGAGGCCAGTCCTTGGCTAAAGCACATCATGGAAAAGTAAAGGGCCAGTGAAGGAGTGGAAGACCCTCAATAAGATGGATTGACACAGTGACTTTAGAAATGGGTTCAAGTGTGGCAGAGATGAGGATGGCACAGGCTAGAGCTGGGGTCAGATCTGTCATGCGTGGGGTTACTATGAGTCCTAATTGATTTGAGATCATTTAACAACAATAACATCCCGTGGATGGCCAAGAGAACAAACAGATAAGTCTTGGAGAGGGTTCAGTCAGAGGGCTCTTTGGAGACAAGAATGATGAGGCTTTGACTCACATACTTTGGACATTTTGCTAAGAGGGACTATTTCTTGGAGAAGGATATGATGCTGGGAAGGGGAGAGGGCCAGCAAAGGAGAGGAAGACCCTTAACCAGGTGGATTGACATGGTGACTGCTACAATGAGCTCTAGTGTGTCAGGAATTGTGAGGATGGCGCAGGACAGAACAGGGTTCAGATCGTTTGTTCATGGGTCACTATGAGTTGTACTTGACAACATCTAACAACAATAGTTTCAGAAGGGCTGTGGATGAACTAATATTCCAGGTGGTAAGATTGATGTGAACAAAGGTACAAAAGTCCACAAAGACAGAAGGAGCAGGAGGGCACTTGAGTCCATGTTGGGCATGAAATTAGGTGAGAGGGTTGAAACAGTAGACCACAGAAGCACTGAGATCCTGGCACAGGAGTTAGGTCTCTGGCCTCACTGAGGGCAGGAGTAGCAGGATGAAAGGCATTGAAGGAAGACCAATCTGGTAGTTGGCAGTGAATTGGCTTGGAGTGAGTGTGCTGGTGGGTGTAGGAGTTGGTTTGGACTGTCAAAACCTAAACAAAGGTGGTAACTGTGTGGTGAAGGAAAGTCATTCTGGAAGATCAAGGTTGGAAGAATTACTAGAAAAACTTTTCCACATTAGAAGTGAGGCTATTCCTTAATCTGGAGCCAAGTTTCCCCTTTTGGAGCCTGAGATCATAATGGTACCATTGTCATTTTTCTCTTCCTCCCAAAAGCCAAATAATTCTCTTTCCTCAAATAGCCCCACTTCTTTCTAATTGTGCTCTTGTTTGGGGGTGATTCAGGATAGAGTGTGTGTGTGTGTGTGTGTGTGTGTGTGTGTATGGTGTTGACTGATATTTCAAAATTACTTTCTTAGACATTGATTATCCAGAGAATACATTACTTGTCCTTTAGGGCCAGAGATTCTTAAATCAGCCAGACTGGGGCCTAGTAGAGAACAGAAAAAGCAGAGGCAGCAAACAAACAGAAACATGTGAGACAGAGCTGACCTGAAACTGCTACCCCAGGAACCCCAAACCATGGCCTTTGCGAAGTTACTGGAGGATTCAGAAGGAGATGCCATCATTGGCAGAACTAAGAGAGTTTTAAAACATTGACCTAAAGCTTTGTGCCTGAAAATTAAAGGGCCTCAAAGCATGGTTGAGAAGGTACCATGACTGGAGAACTGTATCCTATTGCCAGCCTTACTTGTAATCCGTTAACGTCCCTAATAAATGTATCAACTGAGTATGGTTCTTTGATTTCTGTGTGGCGAATGCAACAGATAAGCAAACCCAGGAACAGAGCAGTAAAAGACCTAGAGGAGACAGGTGGTGGAAGGAGATTTGGAAGCTTAGAATATGTTTGACCATATAGAAATGGGCTTTGTGCTTGTGGTAGTTTATGGGAACTGTTCCTCCTTGTGGACTTAATGGAGGCTGAATGAGGCCATCCTCATTGCTGTCCACATTGCTTTTACGTGAAACTACCAAATAGGACAGCATGAAGGTATATTTTTATTGAAGATAATCTAAAAGTGATTACTGCCAAAAGTGTACTGAGAGTCATCATTACTGATGCCCAAAGTAGGTTGGCAGCCTCAAATCATAAGGAATTAGAAAGATATTTATGTTTTCTGTTACAGCAGCAACAAAAAAAGGGGAAGCCCAAGCTGTTGTTAGGTGCCACCGACTAGAATACGATTCATATTGTGTGACTCTATAATCAACAGACCTGAATCCTGCCCTGTTCTGTGCCATCCTCATCATTGCTGATACACTTGAGCCTAAAGAGCAGTCACTATGTCAGCCCAACTTGTCATGGATTGTTTAGGACAGAGTTTAAGGAGAGAGATTATTGGATCAGGGTCAGGAACACTGGACATAATTTGAGCTGGCAGAAATGAAATGAATGTATGTGTGTGGGTATGAAGTATCTGGGGAGAGCGTTGCATAGGGCCAATGGCAAGAGCCATTGGTATGTTTGGGGCAAACCACGTAGCTGTTATTGGTAGGAGTTAAGTGTCTATATTTAAGTACAGCAGATAGCATAATGACATTAAAATGTACAGAAGGCGGCATCAGGCTCTTTCACTAAATTCTACGGAGCCACTCAATTCTTACTTCAGTACAAGCTCTTTCTATGGAGGAAGAGTAAATCCTGGCAGGTGGCAATCCATTTTTTCCTCCTTTTAAACCAGTTTCATAGCAGGATTGGGGTCATAGGGAAGAATTCTGGGTAAGGTCAGATACATTAACCGAAAAGGAGCATGCCATCTTTTTCCTCATAGATTTCTTGTTGCTATTTTTTTTTGTTTGTGGTAACATACAGTTAGGAAGAAAGAGATGTCCCGGTGAGGTGGCCAACAAGTGCCCTAGAGTGAATCAATATCTCTGTGCACCTCAGGTTAATTGGTTCATCCTCTGATCATAAAATCATAGGGGACTTACAACTCCTCACAGGAAGTTAAATGACTGTGCGCAAGATTAATACCCATCTGGAAGGATTACCCGAGCCCCTTGTGTATTGGACTGATCTCCAGGAGAGAAGACAGTCTGCCCTTGTGAAGCTGTACCTCCTTCACAGGCCAGTGCATGGTGCCTGAGTGGAATCCACTCATTGCTGTAAGTTTGGCTTTTAGCTTTTTTCTCTGATCTTTTGGAAGCTGCTGCCTGCACACACGGCAACCAGGTAAAACTCAGCCACCAAGTCTACACTCCCTCCCGCCCAACTCAGCAATCATATACTGAGATGTGGTAGAAAACTTTTTTTTTATTTCAAAATGCAAAATGGGGGTCATTGTAATAATAATAGTATAAAAAAGCATTTCCCCTCCTTCCTCCCTAGTGCAAAGTGGTAGATGCACTCAGACAGCTCGTTAAAACATAGTTTTGGATGCATCATCCCTCCTCACTGCTGCATGGCAGCAAAACTCAATCCCGAACTCCCTTTGGTGGAACTGCGTGGTTTGGTCAGTTCTAGATGTCAGTGGCTCCTCAGAAGTTAAGTCCTAGCAACATATGGCTGGTTCATGGGTTTTTTTCCTCCCTCCCTCTTTCCTTTGTCTCTGCTGTCTTCAGAGGTGCCTAGGAGGCGTGCTGCCTGTTGGAGAGGACCCGGTTGCCGTGCAAGGCCTCCTGCTGCTTGCCTTTTTCCTGAAGGGCCTGCATCCGAAGGGCCTGTCGCTCCCGGGCGGCCTGCAGCGAGGCCACTGCGGCCTCTTCGTCCCGCAGGCGGCTGACAGCTGTTAAGGGGCTGCATACGGTCTCCATCAGGCCGAGCACCACGCCGAAGAAGGCCAGCACGCTGCCCAGCACGTACAACTTCACCAGCTTCCCCTTGGGCTTCTGGGCCATCATCTCCTTGGCTAGGGGAATCAGCTCCTGGACAGTTTCCATGTCAGCTCTGGGCTCTGGAAGGCGGGAGTGACCTGCAGAAGCAGCAGAGCAAGAGGATGTTTAGCCATTATTAGTCCAGCTTTCCAATATCCCTCCCGTAGCTCTTTTGGGAAAGGGAGACAAGCGCCCCAGCTCCAGACCCCGCGAGGCTCACCCTAGTGGCAGAGCGCGAACAGGAGGCAGCGTGAGATGGGGTTGGTGGCAGTAACCCTGTCGGTGGTAGGTTGGGTCGGCCTCTGTTCTCCTCCTCCTCCTCCTCCTCCTCGACCACCGCAGCTCTTCCAGATGGAGACTCTGCAGCTGGCACCTCTCTGATGCCCCGGAGCCGCTTATATATTTTCTCTAAGACCCGCCTCCCCAGACTTCTGGCAGGAGCTAGAGACAGGCAAGCCAGAAACTGGAGGGGGGCAGGTGGGGGCGGAGCTGTGGCTGGAGAGGTGGCCACGAGCTTTGCACGCCCGGCATGTGTGGGCTAAGGGGTCCTGGGAGGGAGAGACAAAGGTGGGGCCTCATGTCTGGCAAACCCTGAACGCAGGAGGTGCTAGCAGAGCCGACCCAGCACAGCGAGCAGCCAGAGGCCAGGGAGCTAGCCGCTCCGCTCGTGTGCTTTCGTATATGACAACTCTTTCTGATTGGCTTCAGTGGTTGCACAGCCTCCTTGGTCCCAGAAAGCCTGAGAAGGATCCCCAATTAGGGAAACCTGGAGATTCTACCTAACAGAATTCCACTGTTATTCAAAACAGCTTGTCACCTTTCTTTTGTGTGGTGTGGTGATGGGGAGGGAAAGAAGGAACAGGAAGTAAGAGGGAGGGCTCTGGGGAAAAGAACAGAAGACAGCAGGTCTCCCATGAATTTTCATAAGGTAATATTCGCGAGGAGTATTCCTTTCTTGCCTGATTGGGTTTATTCAGAGGTGCTTAGGTTACTAGGGTCACGTGATAGAAAACATTGAGTGTTCCCCTTACTCATTGAGGGGGTGTGTGTGTGATACTAGTCTCTTTCCTTGCAGCTGTTGATGTATGTAAAATAAGTGTGTGTCGGAGAACAACCATGATTCCTGAGTTGTCCTCAGGCCCACTCCAGAGTGCTTGAGAAGTTGGAGGGCCCTGAGAAGGTAAAGTTGGAAGGAGCATATTGGTAGACATTCGTCTGCATAGGCAATGGCATATTTTTCATGCTTTGTTCAGTAATGATTTACCAACTCCCTGAATCTAAGGATGCAAATCCGCCGTGGCATTGTTGTTAAGTGCCTCTGGCCTAACTTACAGAGACCCTGTGTCCAGAAGGAAACCCTGCCCTACACTGTGTGCCAGCTTTGTTTTCTTACGGAAGAAATTCAGGGACTGTGAATAGGAAATTTGGTCCAGAAGCTAAAAGAGTAGAATGTTCTTGGGAGTCTGAGGAGAAGTACAATTTTGACAAGGTTTAAATGCAATCACCTTGTAGGGTTCTGATTTCTCTTTGACTATAGATCTACCCAAGTTGGCAAAGTAGAGGAAAAGAGAAGGCAAGTAGGTCAAAGGGCTTTAAAATGGGCCGGTGGCACAGAGGACAGAGGGGAGGGGAAAGCAAACTGGCAAAGGTCAGTGATGCAATCTCGCAACAGCCTGTGACAGTGAGCCTGTGACCAGGAGTGGGAAAGGGAAAGGGCTCTATCAAGGACTGAATATTTCAGTTGTTTGAAATATTACCAGTAATACTTCTTTGGGGTCTGAGGCTGTTCAGTCAAAAAAGGCACTAACAACAATTAACTTTTTGCCTTGACTGTTAGTTGTTGTTAGGTGCTGTAGAGTTAGTCCCAACAAAGAACAGGAGGGAGCTCTGGTGGGTGACCTAGGGGTAAAAAGCTGTGCTGCCATCCTGAAGGCTCACAGTTCGAATCTGCCAGCAGCTTTGCAGGAAAAGGATAAGCAAGATCCTCCTGTGTGATTAACTATCTCAGAAAACTCGCTGGAAGGTCAGCTCTGGATCAATTCTGACTCAATAGAACACAACAACAACACTATGTAGAACAGATCAAACCCTTCTTGGTTCTGTGCCATCCTCATAGTCTTTGCTGTTTTAAGACCATTGTTGCAGTTCCTATGTCAATCTATCTCATTGAAGGTCTTTTTTTCTGGACATTTATTTTGCTAAGCACAATGTCCTTCTCCAGGGACTCCTCCCTTCTGAGTGAATGTACCAGGTTTCTTACTTCTAAAGAGTATTCTGACTACATTTCTTCCAAGATAAATTTGTTCATTCTTCTGGTAGTCCATGGCATATTTAATATTCTTCATCATTACCATAATTCAAAAGTATCATTTTTTTGGTCTTCTTTATCCCTGGTCTAGCTTTCTTGTACATATGACACAAAAGATTAACCCAACCTGGGCCAGGTGATCCTTAGTTTTCAATGTGGCATCTTTGCTTTTAACACTGGTCTTTTGCAGCTAATTTGCCCAGTGCACTATGTTGTTTGATTTCTTTCACGAGTTCTGATTGTGGCTCCAAGTAAAATGAAATCCTTGACAATTAATTTTTCCCTCAGTTTGTCACAATGTTATTTATTGGTCTAGTCAGAGGATTTTTGTTTATTTATGTTCATGGGTAATCCATTCTGAAGGCTGCAGTCTTTGATCTTCACCAGTAAGTGCCTCGAATCCTCTTCACTCATAACATAGTTGTGTTATGTACCTATCACAGGTGGTTATTGAGTGTTCTTCCAGTCTAGATGTTCTTCTTCGTATAGTCTAGTTTCTAGAAGTATTTGTTCAGCGCAGAGATTGAGTAGCAATGATGAAAGGATACCATCCTGACTGACACCTTTCCTGATGTTAAACCTTCCATTCTCTCAAAATTACTGCTTCTTAATCTATGTTCAAGTATGTCACATGAGTACAATGAGATGTTCTGGAATTCCTATTTATTGATGGAATTGTGAAGATTTTTCTTTTCCCTTTTTTTAATTGAGATTTTAATGAAAATTTATAAAGAACTTGGATTTCCATTCATTCATTGTTGCACATTTTCCACACAGTCCACCGCCAAAAAAAAAAAATTCTTTGGAAAGAAAAACTTCTTTCATTGTTATACAGCCCCCTCCCCCAGACCACTTTACTAAGCAGCTCTTATTCTGGATTCATGTCATGCCCATAATACCTAATCATATATTCCTTTTATACATTATATATTCCTCCCTCGTCTGTTTCAATGCCGTGAACATTATTTATCCCCTCTTTTCTTAGTTTCCCCTCAACCTCCATGTTAGTCCTGTTTTATAACAGTGGCATTATGTAGTATTTGTCCTTTTGTGATTGAGATATTTCACTCAACATAATGTCCTCCAGGGTCACCCATTTTGTATAATATTTCTTGAGTTCCTTGTTTTTCAATGCAACATAGTATTCCATTGTATGAATGTACCACAGCTTCTCTCTCCATTCCTTTGTTGATGGGCACTTGGGTTGTTTCCAACTCTTTGCTATTGTGAACAAAGCAGCAATAAACATAGGTGTGCATATGTCTGGTTGGGTGGCAGTTCTGGTTCTTTTAGGATATATTCCCAGTACTGGAATTGCTGGGTCAAATGGTATTTCTATTTGCAACTTTTTCAAAAAGCGCCATACTGCCTTCCAGAGTGGTTGCACCATTTTACACTCTCACCAACAGTGAATAAGGGTTCCAGTTTCTCCACAGTCTCACCAGCATTTGCTGTTTGATCCTCTGTTGAACTTTGCTTTTGTTACTGGAGCAAGGTGATATCTAATAGTTGTTTTGATTTGCATCTCTGTTAGAGCTAAGGATTTTCAACATTTCTTCATGTATTTGTTTGCCATCTGAATGTCTTCTTTGGTGAAGTGTCTGTTCATATCCTGTGACTATTTTGCAATTGGGTTGTTTATCTTGTGGTGGTGCTCGAGTATTCTATTTTTGAGTGATCTATATCGAAGTTGTAGTCTGTGGGGGAAAACTAAGAAAAGAGGGGATTAAGTAATGAATACTGCACTGGAATAGATGAATGAAAGAGCTGTTTAAAAGGAATATATGACTGAATATTTCTGAATATATTACTGAATATATGGACTGAAGCTCAACATCAAGAAAACAAAAATTCTCACCACTGAGCCGATTGGCAGCACTATGATATGTGGAGAAGAGATTAAGATTGTTAACAATGTCAGCTTGCTTGGTTCCATAGTCAACACTCTTGGCAGTCAGAAAATCAAAAGACGAGTTGTATTAGCAAAGTCTGCTGTCAGGGACCTCTCCAGAGTGTTTAAGAGAAACAATGTCAGTCTAGAGACTGTGGTGCTCCTGATCCAAGCCATTGTCTTTGCAATTACTTTGCATCAGAGAGCTGGACTATGATTAAGGATGACAGAAAAATTGATGCCTTTGAGTTTTGGTGCTAGAGAAGAGTATTGAACATCCTTGGAGTGCCAAGAACACTAAAAGTCTGTCCTTTGAATGGGTGAAACCAAGCTGCTCCTTTTGAAGCTCCATCTCACCTACTTTGGGCATATTGAAGAAGGACCCATGTTTGGAAGGGGGAGAGAGATAACACAAGAGGAAGACTCCAGATGAGATGGATTGACAGAGTAACTTGGGTACTGAAGGTAGGTGTGTCAGAGACAGTGAGTATGGCTCAGGATAGAGTAGGGTTCAGAGCTATTGTTCCTAAAGTCACTGAGTCATAGTTGACTTGACAGCACATAACAACAACAAATGAAGTTTTAGTCAACGTCTAACTCTAGATGATTTTTTTTTCTGAAAGTATGTTCTCCAAAATAAAATCTTAATGTAAATTTTCAAATATATAAACAACAAAAAAGGAATATATGATTAGGTATGACAACAGTCCAGAATAAAAGTTGTATAGAGAAGTTGACTGGGGGAGGGGAGGAAACTATGCAAGAACGAATGCTTTTTTTTTCTTTAAAGGTGAACTGTGGGGAAGGAAGAAAATTGTGTAACAATGAATGAATGAAAATCCAACTTTTCTGTAAACTTTTCTTAAG